TCCTCCGCCTCCTCCTGATCTTCCCCGCCATCCTCCCCCACGTGTTTCCCGAAGGGTTTCCACAACGGCTGGGGGGAAACATGGCCCGATAGCTTGGATGAGCTCTTGCCGCAACGCTCGGCCACACGGGCGATTCTAGAAGGCAGGGGGCGGCGGTGATTCGCCGTAGGCATCTTCGATCAACCGCCCCCTGTTGCTTGCGAAAGGGGCTGCTGGCGTGCCAACATGATAACCTCTTGAAGCATTACAATTTCCAGTGGGGTCTCGGCGCATCTCGCATCCAAGATGGCTCAAACATGCCTCCAAGATAGCCCATATGGCCCAAGCTTGCCCCCAAAACGGTCCCACGACGCCTCCAAGACGGCCAAGAAGGCTGTCGGAGAGCCCAAGATGGCCCAAAACTGGCTCAATACGATTGCAAAACGGCCCAAAATGCCCTCCCCAGGCGGCCCAAGGGGCTCCCAAGACACCCCAAGAGTGATCCAAGAGGACCTCCAGGAGGGCAAAATCACTGATATCCCTAACGATGTTCAATAGGTAACGTGTTCTCGCCAGTTCGGGCTTCCAACAGCCGAAGACGGCTTCAAGGCCTCCAAGATAGCCCCAAGACGGCCCCAGCGGCCCCCAAGGCGGCCCCAAGATAAGCCAAGAGGGCCCTAAAACGGCCCAAGATGCCCCCATGGCGGCCCCAGAATGGCCCCAAAACGGCCCGGAGTCCAACGGAACCACTCTGAGGCCCCCAGGGGCCCACAAGATGCCCCCAAGAGGCTTGGTTTCTCTTCCTCCTTCTCCTCCTGCTCCTCCTCCTCCATTCCCTCTCCTTATGGATAGCTCCTCCATGTCACACCCCGAGGCCAGTTTACAGGGCGAGCTGGGCGTTTCGCCTGACACTTCCTCAGCATTTACGATCTTTAAACTTGAAGCTTGCAACAATTCTACTGATGAGGCTTTAAAAGTGATACCAGTTTCAAAGGTGGAGGGCGGGTGGCTTTCAAAATGTTGCTCTCGCCTTAGCACCGCGCAGATTCGATTTACACCTTTGCAAGAGCTTCACGGATTGAGGGCGGGTGGTTTTCAAAATGTGGCTCTCGCCGGAACGCCGCGCACTTTCTTTTAACAGAAAATGCAAGAGTTTGACGGATTGAAGGCGGTTCCTTTTTCAAAATGTGGCTCTCGACTTAGCGCCGCGCACATTTGTTGTAAAGATTTGCAAGAACTTTGCGGATTTAGGGCGGTTCCTTCTCGTCTGGCTTCCGGCTTAGCGCCGCGTGCAATCGTGTCAAACATTTGCATGAGTTTTACAGATGTAGGGCGGTTCCTTCTCAAAATGTGGCTCGCGCTTTAGTTTTTAAATTTGCAAGAGCTTCAAAGAGTGAGGGCGGATGGTTTTCAAAATGTGGCTCTCGCCTCAGCGCCGTGCACATTCGTTTTTCCATTTTGTTTTGAAAGAAATGAAATAGCTTTACGAATTGAGGGCGGTTCCTTTTTCAAAATGTGGATCTCGCCTTAGCGCCGAACACATTCGTTTGTAAACTTTGCCAGAGTTTCACGGATTCCAATGATCAGCGTACCATAAACTATGTGTTGGAAGGATTCAGGAGCTTGCGGGCGCAACAGTTATGTTGATTCACTGAGTTGAAGTCCCAAAAGTGGCGTTCTGGCACGATTCAGGATCGTCTAGGCGCAGCAGTCAGTTTGATACGTGGCGTTGACATCCCGAGAACGATGCTTTAGCACGCTTCAGGATCGTTCAACTGTTGTTTTCCAACGAGGCAGTTCCCTCAATGGAAATGGACCGTTGTAGGGTTCTATGAAAGGGGGAGTTTGGAGGGAGGGTTAATTCCAACATCGTTGATGACTCTCGGGTTTCCACTGGTCTTCCTCCGTCTCCTCCTCGTGCTCTTCCTCCATTCCTTCTCCTTATATATTCTTCCCTGTCGCACCCCGAGACCAATTTTTTGGGCGGTCCGGGCGTTTCGCCTGAGACTTCCTCACCACTGATGACTCTGAAGCTTACAGAGTGACAGGAGTTTCACCGATGGAGAGCGAATGGTTTTCAAAATGTGGCTCTCGCCTAAGCGCCGCGCGCATTCGTTTTGTAAGCTTGAAAGAGCTTTACGAATTGAGGGCGGGTGGCTTTCAAAATGTGGCTCTCGCCTGAGCGCCGCGCACATTCGATATAAAGATTTGCAAGAATTTCACTAATTGAAAACGGTTCCTTTTCAAAATGTGGCTCTCGCCGTAGCGCCGCGCACATTCGTTATAACGATTTGCAAGAGCTCCACGGATTGAGGGCAGCTCCTGTTCAAAATGTGGCTCTCGCCTAAGCGCCGCGCACACTCGTTTTAAAGATTTGCAAGAGTCTTACAGGTTTAGGGCGGCTCCTTCTCAAAATGTGGCTCTCGCCTCAGCGCCGCGCACCCTCGTTTTAAAGATTTGCAACGGGTTGAGGGCGGGTGGTTTTCAAAAAGTGGCTCTCGCTTTAGCACCGCGCACACAGGTTTTTTAGAACACAAAATTGCAAGAGTTTCACGGATTGAAGGCGGTTTCAAAATGTGGCTCTCGCCTTAGCGCCGCGCACATTCGGCACAAAGGTTCGCAAGAGCTTCACGAACTCGCATGGTCAACGTACCAGAAATAGTGCTTGGAAGGATTCCGGGGCTTGCGGGCACAACAGTTATGTTGATTCACTGTGTCGAAGTCCCAAACATGGCGTTCTGGCACGCTTCAGGATCGTCAAGACGCAGCAGTCAGGCTGATACGTGGCGTTGACATCGAGAGAACGATGCTTTGGCACGCTTCAGGATTGTTCAACTGTTGTCTTCCAACGAGGCAGTTCCCTCAATGGAAATGAACCGTGTAGGGGCCTATGGAGAGGGAGCTTCGAAGGAGAATTAATTCCAACATAGTTGATGACTCTTGGGTTTCCGCTGGTCCTCCTCCTCCTCCTCCTTCTCCTCCTCCTCCCCCTCCTCCTCCTCCCTCTCTTCCTCCTCCTCCTCCTCTTTATCCTCCTCCTTCTCCTTCTCCTCCTCCTCCTCATCATCATCCCCCTCCTCCTCCTCCTCCTCCTCCTCCTCCTCCTCCTCCTCCTCTTCCATTCTCGGCCATGATCGAAAGGGTCGGCACAACATTTGGACTCATACACATTACCCAATCACAGGGGGCATGACCTCAGCCTCCTTCACCGCATTGCCCCCGGCATCATCATCATCAGCAGCAGCATCATCATTATCATCATCATAAGCATCATCATTATTATCATCATCATCATCATCATCATCATCATCATCATCATCATCATCATCGTCATTATCATCAGCAGCATCATCAGCATTAACAACAGCATCATTATCAGCATCATCATCATCAGCAGCATCACCATCAGTATCGTCGTCATCATCATTTTCAGCAGCATTAGCATCAGCATCATCTGCATGATCATCTTCATCATCAGCATCATGACTAGCATAATCATCAGCAGCATCAGCATCGTCGGCATCAGCAAGGTCATCAACATCACCCATAGCATCATCAACAACATCATCATCACAATCATCAAAGTCACCATGATCAGCCGCGTCAGCATTATCATCGTGACCATCAGCAGCAACTCACTATCATCCTCGTCAGCAATGGCATCGTCATCATCCTCACCATCCTCATACACATCCTCATCTTCATCATCAGCATCATCATCATCATCATCATCATCATCATCGCCAACATCTTCACCAACAGCACCATCATTACTAACCATGAATCGACAGCATGCCCGAGGCCATCACCACCACCCCAAGGAGCATCCTCAGCATCATCAGAATCATCATCCTCAACATCATCATCATCATCAGCAGCATCATCATCCTCATCATCCTCATATTCATCGTAAGCATCAGCGGGATCATCGTTGTCATCAGCATCAGCATCAGCATCATCACCAGCATCGACATTGGTATCGTCGTCATCACCATCACCGTCGTCGCCGCCTCCGTTCATCATCATCATAATCATCATAATCATCAACAGCAGCACTATCATCATTATCAACCTCGCCTCCATCGTTCTTGATAATTACATCAGCATCATCATCACCAGCATCCTCATCATCAGTATCCCCACCATCACAATCGCCATCGCCATGGTCACCAGCATCAGCAACGACGTCGTCGCCATCATAGTCATCCTCATCCTCATCAGCAGCATCAGCAGCAGCATCAGCGTAATCAGCATCCTCACAATCACAGTCGAAAGTATCATCACCAGCATCCGCATCGTCAGCAACAGCCTCATCAGCATGCACATGATAGTAGTCACAATAATAAATAGCATTAACATCATCACCACCTCCATTACCATCACAGCCACCGTCACCGTCACCGTCATTACCACCATCATCATCGTCGCCGTCGTCGGTATAAACAAGAACGCCGTCGCAGCCTCCATCATCATCATCATCAGCAGCATCATCGTCATCAGAAGCAGCAGCATCATCATCATCATCATCATCATCATCATCATCATCATCATCATCACCATCACCATCATCATCACCATCACCATCACCAGCACCATCGCCAGCACCATCACCACCATCACCATCACCCTCCTGGCCCCTCCTCTGCCCCCTTCCCCCCCCTCCCCCAGCCGTGCAGCGTTGCCCTGAGGCCCCCGGCCCGCCCGTCAAGGCGGGCTCACCGGCCCAGCAGGAGATCCCGCACATCACCCGAGGGCCGCGGGGTCTCTGCGCCCGCGGAGGGCGTCTCGCCCACGGGGCGCTCCGTGGCCAGGTTGGCGATCTTGAGGTCGGGCAGCACCCCCGCCGCCTCGACGACGACGGCGACGGCGAAGGCGACGACGAAGAGGACTTGGACGACGACGACGACCACGACGTCGGCGACGGCGACGACGACGTCGAAGTCGACGACGACGACGACGACGCCGTCGACGACTACGACGACGACGACGTCAGACACGACGACGTCGACGTCAGAGACGACGACGACAGAGACGACGACGACGACAGAGACGACGACGACGACGACGACGACGACGACGACGACGACGACGACGACGACGGCACCGACGACGACGACGGCAACGACGACGACGACGACGGCGACGATGACGACGGCGGCAACGACGACGAGTAGAACACGAGCAGACTGCCGCCTCAAAGCCAAACACCCGCGCGTAGAAGGCCAACTCCGAGTTCAGCGAGTCCTCGATGTTCTCGCTGCGGCGGAAGCCGTGCTGCTCGCCCGGGTAGACCTTCAGGCAGCAGGGGATGCCCTGCGCCTTCACGGCCTCGAACATCGTCTCGGCCTGGTTCGGGGGGACGATCTTGTCCTCCGCCCCCTGCAGCAGCAGGATCGGGCAGCTGAGCCTCTCCACGTGCTGGATCGGAGCCCGCTGCTCGTAGATCTCCTTGTCCTCGGGGTAGCGGCCCACGAGGCCGTCCAGGTAGCGGCTCTCGAACTTGTGCGTGTCGCCCGCGAGCGCGGCGAGGTCGCCGACGCCGTACAGGGAGCAGCCCGCGGTGAACACGTCCTTGAAAGTCAGGGCTGCCAGGGTCGTGAAGCCGCCCGCGGAGCCACCGTCGATGCAGAGCTGGTCCGGGTCGGCCAGGCCCTGGTCGACGAGGTGCTTCGCGCCCGCGCACACGTCCTCCACGTCGCACACGCCCCAGTTGCCCTTGAGCTTCTCCCTGTAGGCGCGGCCGTAGCCCGTGCTGCCCCGGTAGTCCACGTCGAGGATGGCGAAGCCCCTGCTGGTCCAGAACTGGATGCCCGGGTTCAGCGCCACGCCCGTGCACGCGGTGGGCCCCCCGTGCACCTTGACCAGGAGCGGCGGCTTCGTGCCGGCAGGGGCCTGGAACGCCGCGTTCCTCCAGAGGGGGGCAGGAGGGCACCCCCCCAAAAAAAGAGGCACAGATCCCAGGATTCCCCATGTGTTTCTAGATGTTCTGGATGTTCGACTTCTCCCCCCCCTACTCCGCACACTCTCCCACGCCTCTTCCTGGGAAAAGCCACGAGGCGTCGTGTCGTGTCGTCCCCGATCCTCGGCGGGTAGTAGTACCCGAAGGCCTTGTCGCCCTGCGCCGTTGGGAACCTCAGGAGCCGCGGGTCGCTGATGAGGTCATTCTCGATGAGCCTGTCGGCGCCCACGGAGCACGCGATCTGCCTCGCCGGCGCCGCTGGGCTGCCGTCCTCGTGGGGACCACCACCTCCCTCACCCCTCCCTCTTGCGGGAGAGGGTACACCCTGCGAAATGCTCAAGAAATCATGGGTCAAGAAATTCATAGTCTTAGAATTTGCATAATAAAAAAATGAAATATGTTTATCGAAATTTTGGGATTTATATTGAAATAGTAAGAAGCATCGAGACCTTGGTCGAAAACGTAAGTTTTCTTAAGCATCGCGTAGGGCGTAGGGAGGAAGAGGAGGGTGGAGGAGGGAGGAGGAATCGACGTGGTGTGGTGGTGCGTATCCTCGGGGCCCGCAGGTCCTGGGGGATCCCCCACGCGTAGATGCTCACGGGCGTGTCCGCGTTCGCGCCGAGGCAGTAGAGAGTGGATCCGTCCGGGCTCGGGCACAGGCCCCCCACGCTGCGGGGCAGGCACTCCTGCCCGAACTCTCGGAGCTCCGGCCCCCCACCGAAGAGGCCGAAGAAGCCGCCGCCCTTGGCAGGGCCCACGATGACCAGCCGGGTCGAGCCCTGGCTCTGGTCCTGGAGGAGGTGCGCTCTGGCGAAACCAAGCGTTACCGATACCGCTGCTCCCTGGACCTCTCGCGGGATGCGTTCTGACCAGGATTTCGAGGCGAACGCAGCGGTGGCGACGAAGGCCGCCCAGGAAGCCCCCAAAAGGGGAAAACAAGGCCAGGGTAGCGGTATGGGCACCTTTTCCTCACCCGGGGATCGGGGACGTTTGCTTAGAGAATCGCGGCGGCGGCCCTGGCGTCACGCTACCCCTCACAAACGGATAGCGTGTCGCTCCGCTTCGCTCGGGGGCGCGCAAACATGGATTAGCGATCCATGGATTTGGCGCGCGGTCGCCAAATCCATGGATCGGGGGAGGTGCCCTCCCCAAAATGCGGCCGGTGCCGCCTCGTTCGGCGGCGGAAATCCACGAGTTCCCATGGAAGCGGGACTCGTCGCTAATCCACGCCCCCTTGATCCATGTTTGCGATCGCCTGATTCGCGGGGCGGGAGGCCAGGAAGGGCTCGGGAGGTTGACGACTGGGGGCTGGGCAGTGGACACCGTGTCGTGCCCAAGAGCAGTGGGCCGGGATCAGGCGGCGTGGCACGATAGGCCAAAGTTTAGGTCGGGCACGTCCCCCTACAGGCAGGTTTTGGGGGAAAACTCAAAAATAGTCAAAACATACACCAAAAATGCCCGAAGATACTCGAAAAATCGTCCCAAGACTGTTTTTGTTTCTACTGTTTTTGAATACTCCCCCTGTAGAGGGACACGCCTGACTTAATCTGTAGTGGAGTTAGTGAGCTACCTCAAATGCCGTGCACACGAATGGACCTGCAGCGTCCTGCGAGAGATGGCCTGTCCTGCGAGGGATGGCGTATATAAATGGCTTCCCTCTACGCTAGCCCCAGACTCGGGTGGACAGGAGAAGGAGAAGGAGGAGGAGGAGGACGACAACGACGACAACGACGACGAGGAGGGAGAGGGGGCAGCGCGCGATCTGGAGGAAGGGGGTGAGATCCGGAGCCCACGCAGGATCAACTCTGGAGCTCGCCTCGGTCGCGGTGGTCGGCAGACCTCCCCCCTGGAGCGGGCTGGCTCCAGGCTCAACCATCTCCGCCCTCCGCCCTCCACTCGCACGCCCACCCTCCTCATTCGTGATCCAGGGTCGCCGCCCCCCCCCCTCCACCCCCAGTGCACATGGGGTCAAGCCCCCCCCCCCCCCACTAGATGGGTACACCCGTGTGCCTCGCGCAGGTCTCGCGAGTGGGATCGTTCCACCCCCCCTGTGGTCGTGGCCCTGCGGGGGAGGCGTGGTGGAGGGTGCCGGTGCACCCGCCGTCATCCCCCTGTGGGCGTGGGGTGGTCTATCGTCTTCGTCGTCGTCATCGTCGTTGTCGGCATCGGGGTCGTCGTCGTCGTCGTTGCCGTCCGTCGTCGTCCGCCGACATCGTCGTCCGTCGTCGTCGTCGCCGTCGCCGTCGCCGTCGCCGTCGCCGTCCGTCGTCCGTCGACATCGTCGTCGTCGTCGTAGCCGTCGTCGTCGTCGTCGTCGTCGGCGTCGTCGTCGTCGTCGGCGTCGTCGTCGTCTTCGTCGGCGTCGTCGTCGTCGGCGTCGTCGGCGGCGTCGTCGGCGTCGTTGTCGTCGTGGGCGTAGGCAGCGGCGGCGGCGGCGTCTTCGCCTTCCTCGTCGTCGGCGTCGTCGTCGGCGTCGGCGTTGGCGTCATCGTCGTCCGCGTCGGCGTGCCTGTGCACCCCTCGCCCTCTTCCTATGGGTGCGGGGTGGTTGGTCGTAGTCGTCGTCGTCGTCGTCGTCGTCGTCGTCGTCGTCGTCGTCGTCGTCGTCGACGTCGTCGTCGTCGTCGTCGTCGTCGACGTCGTCGTCGTCGTCGTCGTCTTCGGCGTCGTCGTCGTCGACGGCGTCGTCGTCGGCGTCGGCGTCGTCGTCGGCGTCGGCGTCGTCGTGGGCGTCAGCGTCGTCGGCGTCCTCCGTCATCGTCGACGTCCTCCGTCGTCGTCGACGTCGTCGTCGTCGGCGACGTCGGCGTCGGCGTCGGCGTCGGCGTCGGCATGGGCGTCGACGGCGGCGTCGTGGTCGGTGTCGGCGTCGGCGTCGGTGTCGACGGCGTCGTCGTCGTCGTCAGCGTCGGAATCGGCGTCGGCTTCGGCGTCGGCGACGGCGTCATCGTCGGCGTCGGCGGCGGCGGCATCGTCGTCATCTTCGTGGGCGTCGGCGTCGGCGTCGGCGACGGCGTCGGCGTCGTCGTCGTTCTCCGTCGTCGGCGTCGGTGTCCGTGTCGGCGGCGGCGTCGGCGTCTGCGTCGGCGTCGGCCTCGGCGTCGTCGTCGGCGTCGTCGTCGAGCATCGCGCAGGCCTCCTTGCGAATGAGATCGTTCTCCCCCACCCCCTGTGGTCGTGGCCCTGTGGGCGTGGCGTGGTGGAGGGTTCCTGTGCACCCCTCGCCGTCTTCCTGTGGGTGTGGGGTGGTTCGTCGTCGTCGTCAGCGTCGTCGTCGTCGTCGGCGTCGTCGTCGTCATCGTCGTCGTCCGTCGTCGGCGTCCGTCGTTGTAGTCGTCGCCGTCGTCGCAGTCGTCGTCGTCGTCGTCGTCGTCGTCGTCGTCGTCGTCGTCGTCATCGGCGCCGGCGTCGGCGGCGGCGTCGGATTGGGCGTCGGTGTCGTCGTCGGCGCCGGCGTCGGCGTCGGCCCTGGCGTCGGCGTGGGCGTCGGCCGCGGCGTCGTCGTCGTCGTCGTCGTCGTCGGCGTCGGCATCGTTCCCCCCATCCCCTTTAGTAGGGGCTTGGGCATCCTTGGACCCTTCTCATCTGAAGGTGGTGGGGCTGTGAACCCTCGACCCAGGATCATAGATTCCCGTTCTCCCCGACCTCCAGTCACCTTCGCGTCCCACCTCTTTCGCCTCCAACTCCTCATCATCATCCTTCTACCTCCTCCTCCACCCCCTCCTCCTCCTCCTCCTCCTACTCCTCCTCCTCCTCATCCTCCTCCTCAACCTCCTATTCCTCATCCTCTCCTTTCTGGCTCCTCATCCCTCCTCCTTCTCATCTTGATTAACCTCATCAGATTCCTCCTCTTCCTCCTCCTCCGTTTTCCCCTGCCTCTGTCACCTCCTCCTCCTCCTCCTCCTCCTCCTCCTCTCCTCTGTCACCTCCTCCTCCTCCCCTCCTCCTCCTCTCCTCCTCCTCCTCTTCCTCCTCCTCCTCCTCTACCTCTTTCTCCTTACCCGCCTCCTCTTCCTCCTGGTCTGCCTCCTCGTCCCCCTCCTCATCCTCCTCCTCCTCCTCCTCCTCCTCCTCCTCCTTCTCCTCATCCTTCAACCTCTGCCTAATATCCCTCCTCGACGTCCTCCTCCTCCCCCTCCTCCTCCTCCTCCTCCTCCTCCGCAGCAGCAGCAGCATCCCTCCAATGTGCGGACCGTTGGTTCGGACTGCCTCAGAAGCATCAGCAGCAGCAGCAGCAGCATCATCCCCCCTTCAAGGCTCCACGGTGCGGACCGGCGGACCGCTGGCTCACTCCGCGGGGCTGCTGCCCGTTTCCTTCCCGGCCTTCACCGGGAAACGTGTGTGGACAAAAGTTGTGCGGGGAGGAGAACTTGCAAGGGAGGGAGGAGGATGTTTCACTCCGTGAAGACCTTGAACTCAAAAAAACGTACGAAGTGGCATTCAAGGCTACCACTACGCGCCAGGCGCTTCAGGCATCAAACACTGGTCGGGGATCCTGGGCCCAGGGACCGGCCTGAACAGAGACCCCTCGGAATTTCGGGTGCACTCCCGAGGAATTCTGCTTCCAGGCAAAACGAGGAACCGTTCCACTCCCGAGCCTGGCCGGGGAACCTTTACACTCCCGAGCCAAAGTACGCACCATGCCGTGACCCGAGTAGGTTGTGCGACGCAGGCAGACGATTAAGGCGGCTCCGCCGGAGCACTCGAGAGCAACAACATTGTGCTGCAGCCTGGCCAGGACCTGGGGATCGAGCTCGCGAAGCCCACGACAATGGCTAATTAGGCGCAGGCCGATCGACAGAACGCTAGACCTGAGGAGGTGGAGGGGAACGGGCATGAGGAGGAGGAGGAGGAGGAGGAAGAAGAGGCGGAGGAGGAGGAGGCGAAGGAGGAGATAATGATTACGCTACCGAGGAACCCCACATACTCATATGATGGCTGGAGTGATGATAGTTGAAGTGAAGTATGTGAAAATGATGTTGATGGCCGCTGCCCCGCCGATACCGTTGGCGACGCCAGTCAACGCATAGAGACCGCAACCCCTGCGCGCACCCTCTAGCGTCGGAAGATCGCTTCGCCCGCCGTGCCCTGCGCGCCTGCAACGCATAGGGACCACCGCCCCTATGCACCCCCCTTGGTGTCGAGGAAAATGCTACGCCTGCTGTGCCCTGCGAGCCTGCCCCCAGCGCGCCCGCCGCGGTGTCGAGAAGGTGCCACGCCTGCCGTGCCCTGCGCGCCTGCAACGCATAGAGACCGAACCCCCGGTGCACCCCCCTCTGGTGTCGAGAGAAAACCACGCCTGCTAGGCCCTGCGACATTGGCGCGTATAGAAACCTCGCTGACGGACAACCCCCTGCGCACACCCTCTGGTGTCGAGAAAGTGCCACGCCTGCTGGGCCCTGCGACATTGGTGCGTATAGAGACCGCGCTGAGAGACCACCCCCTGCGCACCCCCACCGGTGTCGAGAAACTGCCACGCCTGCGAGACCTTGCGACATTGGCGCGTATAGACACTGGGGTGAAGGACCACCCCCTGTGCACCCCCTCCAGCGCGAGAAAGTGCCACGCGTGCTACACGCGACATTGGCGCGTATAGACACTGGGGTGAGGGACCACCCCTTGCGCACCCCCTCTGGAATCGAGAAAGTGCCACCTAGGCCCTGCGACATTGGCGCGTATAGACACCAGGGTGACGGGCCACCCCCTGCGCACACCCTCTGGTGTCGAGAAGGTGCCACGCCTGCTGGGCCCTGCGACATTGGCGCGTATAGAGAGTGGGGTGAAGGACAACCCGTTCGCACCCCCTTCTGGCGTCGAGAAAGTGCCACGCCTGCTAGGCCCTACGACATCGGCGCGTATAGACACCGCGCTGACGGACCACCCCCTGCGCACACCCTCTGGTGTCGAGAAAGTGCCACGCCTGCTAGACCCTGCGACATTGGCGCGTATAAACACCGCGCTGGGGGACCACCCCCTGCGCACCCCCTCCGGCGTCGAGAAAGTGCCACGCCTGCTAGGCCCTGCGACATTGGCGCGTATGGAAGCCGCGCTGTGGGGCCACCCCCTGCGCACCCCCTCTGGTGTCGAGAATGTGCCACGCCTGCTAGGCCCTGCGACGTTGGCGCGTATAGACACCGCGCTGAGGGACCACCCCCTGCGCACCCCCTCTGGTGTCGAGAGGGTGCCACGCCTGCCGTGCTGTGCTGAGCTGGTCTGTGCTGTGCTGTGCTGAGGTGCTATGCTGAGCTGTGCAGTGCTGTGCTGTGCTGAGCTGTGCTGGACAGTGTTGTGCTGTGCTGTGCTGTGGTGTGGTGCGCTGTGTGAGAAGGAGGAGGAGGAGGAGGAGGAGGAGGAGGAGGAGCAGGAGGAGGAGGAGGAGGAGGAGGAGAAGGAGGAGGAGGAGGAGGAGGAGGGGAGGAGGGCGGGTGTGGGTGAGACGCGGGTGCGGCGCGGGTGGGAAGAAAACCAAAACCCCACAAAGCATGTGGGAAACAAAAATCATCTCACAAGAGCGATTATACGTGAGCCTGTCGAATCGGCCTGACGGGGGAGATAATTGCACAGGGGCTCATACGCTCAGAGACGCGCAACTGCATTGGGAGTGACACGAGCTAGGGCCACCGACGACAGTGCACGCAAACCCTGAATCAGCACGAAGCATGAAGGGCCGCGAACGCCGTGCACTCATACAGTTAGCACAAGTGCACACGCAAGATTGATTACTGTGCTTTTAAGAAGGGGGATGAGACTGTTTAAATCGGCGCCGAGCTTTCTGATACCGAAAACAACAACAATCATTTTGACACTGTTCGCCCTTATCTGCTCGAGTGTCGAATAAC